GTCCAAGGCTCGTTGTCGACTCCGCGGTTCCTTGAGCTCGTAGTAGGCTTCGACGGTTGGCGCGGATACCAGCCCTTCCTCCTTCACCTCTCTACATATATATAATAGTATAGTGGGTCTGTATAGTGTATAGTGGGTCCATGGCCCGGGCGGGGGGCAGCCGAGCACAGCGCGCATCTCCCACAGGCCATTGATGTCCGCGGCTTGTTCGAGCAAAAGCGGTCCCAACCCGGCCACGACGATGGAACTAAAAGAAGTGATCTGGTTGTTTACGTGGTAAGTATGTACCGCACCTGGAGCCTAACAAGGATAAAAAAAGAGAGATAGGAAGAAATGTAAGGAGAAAGATACGTATGATACGCCATTAAATGCGTAATGGTCCCGAGCTGACGACTGCACGCTTTTATGACGTGCAAAAATTGCCTATGTCTACACTAAAATTAGGTTTTTCTTGAAAAAAGCCGAGCCCCTCTTTGTTAGGAATCAATTTGTTCAATTGGAATTTTCAATCAATTGGAAGGAGGTGGGGTGTCTATACAGTATACTTCTCCGCCCACCCTGGGTGGGCCCCCCCTAGGGGGGACAGAGGGGGGACTGAAAGGGGGGATGGTGGGGGCCCCGGGACCCCCAATGACCGTGCCCCCTACCCCCCTGAGGCATGGAGGTATGGCATCTACGAGTTCCATTCGCTATACCGAATTTTCACTATACCGAATTTTCGCTATACCGAATTTTCACTCTACCGAATTTTCGCTATACCGAATTTTCACTATACCGAATTTTTGGTATACCGAATGTTCACCATGCCGATTTTCACGATATCGAATTTTCACCATGCCGAATCTTCGCCATACCAATTTTGATAAGCGGTATGTTCCCCATTTTTTTACTGTTTTTTTTCCAAATAGATGGGCTAGAAAGTTAGAGTTAGCCTAGAAATTTCCAAAAACGCAGGCAGATCGTAGGTCCCGTAGGCGCAGCAGATTTTCTGTTGCACCGCAAAGTCCCAGCCGATCTTAGTTATTAATATTAGTAGAGAATATTAGTAGTAGAATAGCAAAAATTCGGCATAGCGAAATTCGGTACAGCGAAAATTCGGTATAGTGAAAATTCGGTATAGCGAAAATTCGGTATAGTGAAAATTCGGTATAGCGAAAATTCGGTATAGTGAAAATTCGGTATAGCGAAATTCGGCATAGCGAAAATTCGCTGGGGGGGGGGGCGGGGGTGGGGGGGTGGGGTCCCCGGGGCCCCATCATCCCCCCTTTCAGTCCCCCCTCTGTACCCCCTAGGGGGGGCCCACCCAGGGTGGGCGGAGAAGTATACTATACAGGGTTTTGCAAAAAACGACCTTCCTCTAGAGTATACATGGGTCGACGCTTGCATGCGCCGCATAAGGGTGACTGGCCGCGCTCTTCCGGAGCGTGGAGAGCCACGCTGGCGCGCGTGTCTCTTAATAAACCACGCCGAAATGAGCGTGGGCCGCCACGCTCCGGAAACACTTATGCAAAGTTTTCTAAGATGTAAAATCACAGTTTTTCCAAAGCGCGCGAACGCAAAAATTGATACGTTTTCAAGAAGTTAAGTAACAAAAAGTTGAATCACTACCTATGATGTTTATTTATGTAAATTCAAAGATGAACTTGATAGTTATGTATAGGTAATCCATTTTAGCAAACCGAAATCGTAGATATATGTCCTTTGAATTCCGGATTTGCATCCTGAGTTAAACTGCGCGCGTGAAAAAGCACGCATAAAGCGCCGCATAAGCGTGGATCTCCACGCTCCGGAAGAGCGTGGCCAGTCACGATTATGCGGCGCATGCAAGCGTCGACCCATGTACAGTGGCGGACAAAAGTTTCCAACATTTAGTTTTTTGGCGCTATTTTGCCGATTTAGTGTGGAAATGTTCCCTAGATCGCATTGATGGCAGAATTCGGCGTCCTTTTTTTACCTGCAACACGCTTAAGACCACAAATCCGCAAAATAAAAAAGTTTGATAAAATTCTCAAAAATGTCGATGACAAAAGTTTCCAACATTTTTCTTTAAAAGCTCCGTGGAAATGAATGGCGTCCTCTAGAGTGGTAATATTGATGCCAAATCGTTTAACATAATTGTTTTCAAGCATTCATGGTTGCAGATTAACTCCTACAGCTCTCGGGAATTTTTTAGAAACATCGATTTTAATATGGGAATTCGACATTTTGGCTTCTAACTTTCGAAATCTTAGTTTTTGTCTGGATATCGATATAAGGCCCGATAGAGCGCGAAAAAACAAACATTTTGATATAAAATTGCTTTGTGCTGCCCGGCTGCGGAAGAAGCTACACATAAATCAATTCTGCGCGCGGGGCAAATGCATCTTTTTGTTAGAGACGGCCTCCCATTTACTATGCGCGCCACTTATGAGGCGCGTCGACCGTCCGTATCTGTTTGGATAAGTGCATTCATAAAGCCCATGTAATATTAAAATGTTTGTCTTTTCGCGCTCTATCGGGCCTTATATCGATATCCAGACCAAAACTAAGATTTCGAAAGTTAGAAGCCAAAATGTCGAATTCCCATATTAAAATCGATGTTTCTAAAAATTCCGGAGAGCTGTAGGAGTTAATCTGCAACCATGAATGCTTGAAAACAATTATGTTAAACGATTTGGCATCAATATTACCACTCTAGAGGACGCCATTCATTTCCACGGAGCTTTTAAAGAAAAATGTTGGAAACTTTTGTCATCGACATTTTTGAGAATTTTATCAAACTTTTTTATTTTGCGGATTTGTGGTCTTAAGCGTGTTGCAGGTAAAAAGGACGCCGAATTCTGCCATCAATGCGATCTAGGGAACATTTCCACACTAAATCGGCAAAATAGCGCCAAAAAACTAAATGTTGGAAACTTTTGTCCGCCACTGTATACTCTAGAGGGCCGCAGAAGTTTTTGCGGCCGATTTTGGCGATCTAGGTGTCAATTGAAAGCTCTCAAAAAGGCGAGAAAACTAGCACGTTTCGTTTTTCAACCACGCCATATTAATCGACGGGGAAATTCATGAAAACTGAAGATCTTATGCAAACTACGCATATAAATTGCTTGCTCAAGCGATTAAGACAACGCTGATTTTACGGATTTTGAATGAAATTGTTTAATATTGAGCGCGGGCTTAAGTGTTCAAAACGAGCAGCGCTTGTCTTCCCGCCGTTTCAAGGGCTTTCAATGGTGTAATTATCATACCGAGCTGACGTTTCTCTGGAGTCAATTTTTTGGGACACCCTTTATATAGTAGGCTTTCCTTACCTGAAAAGAAATATCCTGCACCTTTAAAGGGATTGGAATATGAATATATTGGAAATTTGGTTGCCGGTGTACTGATTGACATCTTCCTCGGGGAGGCACATCCCAGCAATTTTGGCCAGTTCCTTGTCGATGTCGAGGCGTGTAGGTGAGGCTGTTGTGTTATCCGCGACGCCGCTATTATCTTCAGCGGTATTCTTCGGTGTCGTAATTGAGATGGTGGTGTTGTCCACGGCAATACTTCCTAAAAGTTGCTTTTCGTTGGCGCATGGAACTGTCGTGCTGGGGGAAATGCCAAAGCCCCGGCAACCAAAAGCCCGACCTCCATAATGCTGTCATCCGAAATCCCGACAGCGATAATACCGACAGCAAAAATCCCGAAAGCGATAATCCGAACATGCTTTTCTGCCAGCCGCTTTACTCATAAAATGTTGTTAAAAAATGCGGTTTCTGGCTGTCGGGATTATGGCTTTCGGGATTTTGGCCCTCGGCATTTTGGCTGGAATTCGCTCTTTCCATCGTTAATTGCTTGCATGCCAAAAAGTTGTCAAAATAAGGATGACGATCGTGTTTGTATATACCACATCAAAAGTCTCCTGATCATTCCTGCAAGTTTTGCGTTCGTGAGGAGTTTAATTAAACAAATTTTCCGAATTTTTAAAAGTTAAACTAAAAAGCCAATAAAATCGTATTCGAAAAACTCCAGAAATGTTCAAACAGGAGAGGTCGACCAGTTCACAGCAAGAAATTAATGGCAATGTGGTAGCGGAAACGTTTACTAGCAGCGTGTCCCCTTCGACGCCCGAGACTAGGCTTATCTTGCAAAAAACAAACTTTTTTCATTGGGGGTTGAAAGGAAATAAATAAGGGCTCGCTGGGTCGACCCCGATTTCCTTATCATATTGGCAAAAAGACAAATCTTTGGAAAGTGAAAAGTGGAGATAACATCGGATTGAGACATGATTTAGAGGGCGTGTTATTTCAGAGGAAATACCGTATTTTCCAATAGGGCGGTGGGCGACCGTAAAAATTATGGGTTTTTTCTGAAATTATGATATTCCTATCGTAATTCCGGGCCTCTGAATACCAAAAAAACCGAGTTATGGGAAGGATCTATCAATCTCCTCTCCAATTGCCTTTGGATCGATCCTGAGCGCGCTGCCCTCTCCCGCGATCACGCACTATTTTTCGTTTGTTCGGTGATTTTGCGGGCGTAATTTATTGAGGATACTGAGCTTGCTCTTTTTGTATACTTGTTTATGGGGGAAATTTATCGATTAATAGTTCTGGGCTTCATTAGATCCTCACCACTTCATCATTAGGTCCAAAATTCTAGTAAATTTTTTCATCTGAAATTTTTTAGCAGGAAAGGAAGCATGGCGTTATGCTTATGTTCATAAAATCCATTTTCATTTCTAACTCCTCCATCGTAATCTCAAATTATCGATTGACAAAATTAATTTTGAAGTAAATCCACACAAGCCTGGATGCAGGCTTAGACGATTAAATACCGGAGCGCTTAATGTGGATCAAGGCTATGGAGACGGCAAGATTTTAAAAGTTCAAGCTTTTAAAATTCGAAGTGCTGAAAATCCGAAATCCTGCTTCTCAACACTCTGATTCCCAAGATACCAATTTTCGAAATTTTTACATTTTTTCACGGCTATTTTAATGAATAATCTGCCTCATTTCTGCAACACACAATTGCAGGCGATGCGTTTTACTTGCTTTGATTGTCCGGATTGCTTGTCGCAATTTGCCGATGAGGTTGATTCGGATAAGGATGGGAAGCCGGTGGTGGACGGGGGACGATTGGTTTGTGTATGGTGCGCCGGGGATAGCACAAAACCTGCTCACATCGTAATCGAACAGATGCAGAAGCGATGCTTTCAGGTACGTCCTTGTCCGGAGCCATTAGGCTGCGAATTCATTAACTAATATTATTTGCGCGAAAATATTTGCTAAAACCGCCTTTTTCGAAAATAAGGTTTTCGAAAAATAAGCTTCGAATTAATAATGTGAAACGTCCAAAAACAACTATTTTTCAAAAATATAGCTTTTCGAAAAACGGATTTTTCGAAATGTGACTTTCTACAATGCGTATACAAATTCGACAGACAACGGGTCGGTTTCCCAAGAAGTTTCGTTTCGGAATTTTTTTTTGACACTTTGGTTTGACCTAACCGCGATCCGAAAATTAAAGAAAATCCCATCCTATCGAAATTCCCTCAAACCCGTTTCATTGATTAACACACCTTCTTTCAAAATTTTTTCAGAAAACCGACGAGGGTTGGGAGGCCATTGGAAAAGTTCCAATCTTGTGCTGCCATCAATGCCAAGCACCCTTCAGAAAGGATGAAGAATTTTCGATTTCCGCCGGTCAAAGATGGCTCCGCTGCGCTGCGTGCGGAAAGCATGCCAAAAGCGTCAATAATACGAAGGAAAAACGCGTATCCGACTCGTTTCGAAACATTGAGTATCTGCCCATGTACAAAAAGATCGACGAGTGTTTGCTGGATTGGATGGGAAAATTTCAAGACTCAGTAATACAGCACAATGAGGGTATAGATCAAGCTCTCAGGGCCGGGAAGCTTCAGAAGAAGAAAAGAGGCGCTCGTGGTAAGAAGAAGAAAAACCCTAGCAAAGTGGAAGAAGCTGGCGCAACGACATCCGACTGCGATAGTTGCGATCGGATCTGGGAGCAAAATGACATGTTTGTATGCAAAGACTGCCAGCGGTTCATCTGCCCACTATGCTGTCTAAGAGACCATAAGACTCATGAATACGGAGAATTCCACGCCACTTTGTTAGCTGATACAGAAGCAGAAACACGCGCGTTTCTGACCCAATTCTACACCGGGTTGCACGGAAACATCGAAGGGATTCACGCGGCAATTTCGAGGAATCAAAAGAGTCTTCTGGAGGCATGTGAGGAGGGCTTGAAACGGGTCCCCGAGCTCTCCAAGTTTCAAATCGGCGAAAAAATGTGCGCAGCGATGCGAGCTACAGCCGACAGTTATGAGAAATCCTTTGAAAAGTATTTGCCTCACGCGCGCATTTACAATTCCGCTCTGGAGAAATTAAAGGATGATATGGAGGTAGCGCTGCGTGAATTTGTGCCTGAATAAATATGTTTGGTTTCAGATTTTGAGGTACTCCCAACAAATATGCATCACGGCCCCTTAAAAACAGAAACGTGTTTTTGCTTAAACAGAAACTAGACCTGGTATTTTTTGAGGATCTGGCGACGGAAAACGATAGCAAAATCCACTCGGCTTTTCTGAGTGTGGCTCAAAGGCAGGCCCGTAAGAGGCTGAAACCCCCCCCCCGAAATCGGCCAAAGGCCGCCAAGTTCATGAGGGGGGGACCCTTATGATTTAATTTTTCCAAAAAAATTTTTTGCGGCGGCGCTGTTTTTGGCTATTTTTAACACTAGTTTTAGTGTTATAAACCCTATGTTTTCAAAAATTTGGCCTGCGGCGATGCAGTTTTAGTCATACTAGTGAAAAATTTTTGGCGCCCCCCCCCCCGAAATTTGGGTTTGTTAGTCATCTGTTACAAAATTTCGGACCCCCCTTTGCTTTAAGAACCAATTACGCGTCGATTGGAGCGTGCCGTAGCCTAGCCCCGTCTTCCCCTCTCATGCGCGTTTTTCTTAAAGGAGGAATCGCCGTGGGGGGGGGCGGGGGGATTTGGGCTAGTTGCCCCTTCACTGTTGCGGCCTTTGCTCACAAGGAGACGTTTTTGAGTGTCGTCGGGACTTTGGCACGGGACCAAGCCTATCTTGTGCAGAATTTTACGCTGATTCCGAATATGTTAACCGTTTTTGCGGAATAGCCATTTCTCGAAAGTTATGAACGATTTAAACCTCAAAACAGCTCAAAATCGGCTACTTTCAATAGTCATAAAAGGCTTCAAAATAGGTTTTAGACAAAACCAGATAGTGCATCTGGTTCAGAAAAAAAATTCTCTATAAAATAAGCTACTTAACTCAAAAATGCTGGAATTTTGAAAATTTTTGTAAAATCCCGTGCCAAAGTCCCGACGACACTCAAAAACGTCTCCTTGTCAGCTGGTTCCCCGGCCTCAATTTGAGGAATGTAACATTCAGCCCGATGCCTTCCTAGCTTGCGAAGCCGTATTTACAAAGCTGTTTTATTCGGTTTATGATGCACACCTGGTCCAAAATTTCTTTCACGAGCCGGGTGAAACTCCGCCCCGAGTGGCACAGAACAGCCACTAGGTCGGGGTGAGGAATGTGACATTCAATTTTCGCGAGAACTAGACTTCTCTCGAAGCTTATGTTTGCGGAGCTGTGCTGCCGGCTGCAACTATATAAATGGTTCTAAGCCAACTAAGTGGTAATCTAGTGGGATGCTGGTTCCTACCGTGATTCTCGCGGTTTGCGCGCAGGTTGGTGATGCCAATTGTTTAAGGAACTTATTATTATAACATTTTGTTCGGGGTATGGTAGCCTAGGCAGCGTTGTAAGTGTTATAATCAAGAGACTGTTGTTTTTTTCGCTAGCTGGGAACATCACAATTCCAGGGTAAGACTGGTCCTTTATGACTAGGTACCGCTATAACTAGGGTTTTCATAATTTTAAGGACTCTTCGCAGCACAATTTTTACACATCACCGGAGAGGACATTTTTATCTAGACAGCCTCTCCTATGGCCTAATGGCATTAATACAAAAGCTTATGTGAGAGGTAGTTAGGTTGGCAAGTTAAGTTATGTTGGTAGTAGTTAGGACTCTAAAACCGGTGCCCACAAAGAACTTCGCAATGTTGCTGTAATCGACATTTTCAGTTGATCTCCGCGTTCGTCACGGTCCTCAGCGGTGGTCAGATTGATGGACGTGAGCAAAAAAACCATTTCGTTATGAAATACTGTAACTTTTTGTAGCACCAATTGGAGGGCTCTGTCTCGGTGGTAACGCGTTCAGGGCGCTCACCATCCAAGGCGACCTCGCCTGCTATCGATATTCCAGCCCGCCATGTGATCTAGTCATTAAAGACAAAGATCCAGGGCGGCAGGGTGGCAGTGAGTTTTCAGTAGCTCAAAATCCCTATTATTTTTAGCAAGATTTCCAATGACACTCTCAAACTCATCCTCCCGTAACTATTTGTCCGAAGTGTCGCTTGCTTATGACCAACTAGTGAATAGCGTATGAAATAGCAGTGCACATTTTAGGATACCTGGTTTTCGGTAAAGTGACTTTCGAAAATATGACTCGCACCAAACAGCTTTCTATTCCTATTTATATATTTACATTTTCGATCTATCTTCTATTTCCGATTTCTTCATGCCCGGCCATATTTAAGCATTTTGGCAAGGTAACGGTGGTCCGATTCGTTTCCGTTCGCGAAATATTTTTACGCAAACTAGGGTTTTTTTTGTCCAACTACGCTGATGATTTTTGAAAAATGGTCGTCCGTTATCCCTCCAACAAGTTGCAGGGAATCACCATAAGCTATTTAGGACTCCAGGAAGGTCATTGCCCGACTGGGTTCGCTTGTATCGCCGGTGATGTTTGTTACGACGTGGTAATGATGAATTCTCGATATTATCACCAATACCATTGTAGATTTCGCCGGATATATGCAGGGATAACGATAGCAAGTTAGAAAATCTTTTTCTCAAGATTTTTATCCCTCTTAGCTGTGTCTTGTACCGCGACAATGGATTCTGCCGCTCAAAACTCTACACGACAGCTCAGAAGAAGGACGCCTGTTGCAGGACTTGCCTATATTATTACGATTGCCAAGATGCTGATCCGGAGTCGGTTTTTACAACGCACTAAACTGTCCCGGCAGGAGCTGCCCTTGCCATGATTCGTTGAAGGATTTGCAGTCATAATTACTGTAAGGTGTTGTCACATGGGAGAGAATCCATTTGGGACTAAAAGTCTATCTTGTGCCGAATTTTATTTTGCTGATTCCGAATCTGTTTTTCAAATCTGCTGAAAAGCCCGCTTTAAAAAGTTACAGCAATTTTTTTAACAAACTGGCTGAAAGTAGCCGATTCCCTCTAAAAATCTTGCAGAATATTTTCTGGATAAACACAAGTTATAACCCGAGTTTTGCGATACGTGTCCGTGAGGTAGCTCATTTGAAAAGCACCTTTTCTACACCATCTTCTGTGTTTATTCAGAAAGGATTTTACTAGCTTTTTAGAGAGATTTTAAGACGACGATGTTGGGCCAGCTTGCAACAAAAATCGCTTTAACTTTTGCCAGCGGGAATTTCAGCAGATTTCGAAAACAGATTCGGGATCAACGAAAAATTCTACGCAAGATGGGCTGAGTCTCGAATGGAATTTACATCCTATGTGAAAACACCTTACAGTAGGGTTAACGGGGGAGGGGATAAAATCACGGGGCATGCATTATGAGATTTCAATTTACTGTAAGATTTTGCGTTGCCATCCAATAGCTTTTTTAATAGACCGCAAAACATCACATTGTAACTAATTTGATAAAAAATTGGTGTGCCCCACCGCGTTATTTTATTCGTTATTTTGATCATTTTGATCCTTTTGTTACCATTTTCACTTATCGATTTTCAGCTGCCCGCTCTACGAGAAGAACAACAACTACTGCAACAACAGCACGGACACCGAAGAGGTAAAGCAAATAAAGTGCAGGAAAACGTGCGGCGTCTGCTGACCATCGGTACCGTACGAAGAAGGCTCGAATAAATCTGAATGTATCTGATCTCACGCAGCGTTATTTTGTTTTGTTTGTTTTTTCGAGTATACAGAGGTGTCATTAATGTTACCGCAATCCGTCCCAAAACCTCTAAAATCTCTTTTCTTCGGATCAAAAGAAATCAAATTCATACCAGCTTCATGCGATGTACAAATTTTTCATATCTGGCCCCGTGAATACCATAAAAATCATGTTGTTGGAGGGAGCGATCAAGCTCGGCTCCCGATCATTTTCGCGGTAGAATTTCGGAAACCCACGACTTTTTTGGGTGGAGCAGCCACGGCCGAGCTTTGGCACCTAAGCATCCCCCGGTTCGGCATCCCGCGAGACAATTGGTCCCATTTTTATTCAAGGGGCGCATAGCAGGACTCATCATTAGGCCTAAAGGACATGGGCGTGGCCTGGTCGTGAAGGGAGGCCCACCACAGCGCTGTTGTTGCATCTGGAGGCCCTTGCCGGATGGCTGGGAAAGCTACGTCCCTTTTAAGTTCACATAGGATTCAAAAATGACTCGGAAAATGTAAACACAGCAACAGGAAATACAGACCTCTTCTATTCAATTCAAATTTTTTTCGTTGCCTGTTCAAAGCAAGGAGGAGTAGATAGCATCACAAAGGCAGCTTCTCCCTCCATGATTCGACAAGATCACCGCGCTGGCCCTAGTCTAAACCTCTACTACTAGACCAGGAATTCACCACTCGGAGTTTTTGAGTCGGCGTAAATGCTACTTGAAAATCTCGGAAACGTCAAGTTTGAGTCCGAATCAAACGCACCCAGCTATCCCAGCAGTCAAAAGTCTTAAGAAAGAAAATTTTCAAACCAAGTTCCGCACCGTTTTCCAGCCATAAAACCCAACGATGATATCCAAACAGTCTGGTTTGGGTTTGATAGTAGCACATGCAAGAAAGTTTTCGTACAGCCGCAATGTATCACAAGAACATAATGTATCACTTCCGAACAGTCACTCCAAAAGAAACGGGGTATATTCACGTACGTTTTAATTGTCTTTGACGGTTGTACCTTAAAAAAGCATTCATACAGCCGTAAGGTTACAAAACCAGCCTACGTTAGTTTTTTAGCGGATTCGTAACGGCTTTTCATTTCACACTAGAAGACATGTAGGCGTTATTCGTTTCCGCTAGCAATCTGGTAGTTGTGACAATCAGTTGAGCCACGCTTAAAAACGTAATTTTTAGGCAGGCTGCAAAAGGATATCTACCTATTCGATCGCGTAGCATCTGCAGTGCATTTCCACGAGCGTGGTGAAACGGTTTTCTTTACAGCCGAGATCTTGCTGTTTCTTTTGGGGAAAGCCTCTGCTATGATTTTGAACCTAAAAAACCCATCAGGCCAGAACGTTTTACGGTGTAACCCAGCAACCAAGAAGTAAATCTAGGCTTGTCCCTGACTGGCCGCCTAACAAGGAGACGTTTATTCAATATCGTTTGGGTTGCGATTAAACCAAGCCTAGCTTGTGCAGAATTTTGCACTGATTCCAAATACGGTCACCATTTTGTGAAATCACCCATTTCAGAAAGTTATGAATTATTTAATCCAGGACAACCATAGTCTGGGCTCATTCTGCGCGTTCCTTGGTCTTAAATCATTTATAACTTCCGGAAATAGCCAATTTTGCACATTTTGTAACCATATTTGGAAACAGCGCAAAATGTTGTACAAGTTGGGGTTATTGCAAACTTGATACCCCGACGACAGCAAAAAACGTATCGTAGCAACATAAAGCCAGCCATTGCCTACTCACCCACCTCGGTAGCTTCAAGTACGCACCATATTGAGCAGATGCCTATTGATTGCGTCGATTATGCATTTATTTTCCAAAATTGGTGAAGTATATCTCGAACCAAATGGTATCCTCGTCGAAAAAAGCTCTTTATGCAGCTATTGTTTAAATCATTGGTAGAACTTCCCAGCGTTGAGCTTCGCTACAAGTACAACATTATTAATTGACGCTATGGGCTACAGAAACTACAGAAACTTATTATTAGAACGGAGGTTTTAACGAACGCAAGAGCTCAAAAAAATCAATAAAATGTGGGAAGTCGGGATTGGCGCGAATTTCGCCGGAGTTATCACGGAGTCAGGCCGGCTGGTCAACCTCTTATCAGTGTCAAAAACTATGCCTGCACCCCTCCATTACCGGAAATACTCCAAGTAATGGCCACGCGAAGGGGCTTGCCACCAAGATAGCAATGACTGTCAAGTTGTTCCCCTACCGGTGGATCATCGGGACAGCGGAGGTCTGAGGAATATATACGCCGAGTGTTTTCCCACAGACCTCGAATAAGATACAGTGCATTTACCAATGGAAGGACAGATAGAAACAAAAGATTTATGTACGTCAGTACATACATCACAGTACATCACGGTACATCACGTACATCACGGGCTATATATATACCATAGTACATCACGGGCTTTCTAGGTCCAAAGATAGCTCCGGGTCATGGTATGGGCCGAGGAATCATCCGTGGTGACCAAAAAAATTGTCTACCTAATAATTACAAACTAAAAAATTTGACGAAAACAATGTGATTAATAGTGGCAGAGTTAAACGATTTATTCAAGGTATCCAGCGGGATTTGGGCATCGACTTCTTGCTCATTATGGCGGGTACTATGAAAAACTGACAATCAGGTCTACTACAGCCAATGATGCGACCCAGCCCGGGTGGTAAATCCCCTGTCTCGAATTGCACAAAAACGAGCGATCAGAGTCTCGAATGAGGAAATCTCGCATTGGGAAACTCCCTTAGAAATTTTCACAACGAAGTTGTCTTAGGTTTCGAAGAGGTTTCCCTTTGAAATACTTGAGGTACAGTTCATTATTACGAGAAAATTAATTAAGCGAGATTTTCCATCATGAATTGTTCTCGGAAAGCAAATTCACCCTAACAAGCACCACTGATTTAGAAATGCAGAAATAACGGCGTCGGTGGATGGGAAGGTTCAAGGGAGTGGCGATTCGGCTATGGTCTGCGCCTGAAACCAAGCTTTTGTTGGTTTCCTTGGTGCCAGTTTTTAGGATAGCTGGCGTGCGTGAACTTTGAATCACGCAGGCCCGCTAACACCAGATTTTCAAAGCACGCCGGAGCCTGTTAGGTGCAGCTGCTTTCCAAACATTAGGGATGGCCATTTTGCAAAATGGACAAGCGTACGTTGTTCAGAATCCAACTCGCTATCGAATGAGCTAGATTTTGAACTGTTTCCCGGATGACTCCCAGAAAGCGTTCCTTATTAGTGTATTTTATGCCTGCAGTACGGAATCGCGTATAGATCCCAAAAAAAAATAGTTAAAATATTGCAATTTTGGTCAATAAACCTTTTCCCTCGATAAACTTCCCTCCCCCCCCCCCGCCAACAAACCAGAGCCTCCGCCATTTTCTGCAATTTTTTCTCTTTGAATGCATTATTTGTTAACCCGGACGCATCGGGTAAATTTGCTTGATCTTCAAACGCCGCACCGAGCTAGCTCCTGCCTTCCGGCGCATGGTGCAATAGAGCGCTCAGGGAAAACCAAAATTTCCTAAAAATCTGTGTTTTGGCGGAATCAAGCGAATTCACTTTCGCTGATTGCAAGTGAAATGTAATCAAAATTTATTTTCTCTGCTTCGCCCAGCTCTTCAAAACATGCAAGGTTCCTAAATGAATTTTTTGATTGCAGGTGAATCATAGTTTTGGGGCATCTTTGCTTCCTACTTTCATTTGCCAAATTTCATCTTGCTTCCAACTCCCCAAAAATGGCTGCATTTTCCTATGTACTGTCATTGCTTTTCTTGGCTCCGCTGGCGTCTGCTCACTCCAGCTGGGGCACGGCTTTCAAACAACGCTGGTTGCGCATTGTCGAGGTTTAACCGACCTTCAAAAAAATTGCTGTTCAGAGTAACGACACGGAGGCTCTGCCAAGCGGGTTGAAGACGACCATGTGCCGGTTGATGAACTTTTTGCTTAATGAACGCCAAATTCAGGGATTTGCGCTTGGCCCTTGAGATGGGCTGGGAACCGGCGAGCATCATGGATGACATTGCCTTCATCAAGCATTCGACGAGAGGAGCAAGTGCCGCGACAATTAAACTGCTTAGGGCCAGGATCGATGCAGACAATCAGCTTTACAACAGTGCGCGGACGTTATACAAAATTTCGTGCGTCGGTGATGAATGGAAGGCAAGCGGTGAGTGGGGGGAAGGGTGAAGCAATGTGCGGCAAACGGCGGTTTCTGTAGGCAATAGAATACAAAAAACTTTTAAAAAGCAGGAAAATGTTTTAAAAAATTCGAAAATTTGGTATTAACCAAATTTTTCGTTATTTGTGTTGTTAATTTTCGGTATTTTTGGCTGTTTTAACGGGATTTCATGAATGCCATCGCATAGAGCATCAAAAAATGTGCTAAGAGATTTAATTTGAGCACGAAATAATGCATTATAAATTAGTTATTAAAAAAACATAGCAAAGGGCTGGCCATGAAATTAGGCGTAACATAATGTACGTAAGATTAGGCAATAAAGTATAACAATAATGTGATCATCATTTTCGGCGTTTTGAGCTTTTTCGCCGGGATTTGATTAGTGCCATCGCATAGAGCATCAAAAATATACTAAGATATTTAATTTCAGCCCGAAATACCACAATTTAAAATTAGTAATTTTTTAAGCTAAAAGATAATTAATTAAAAATCGTTAAAAATGAGGTTTTTGGGCTGAAATTAAACCTCTTAGTAGAATAGCAGGATATTTTTTATAAATACAAAAATTGTTTCCACCCCCGTTATTTGTCCCCCCCCCCCCCGGTTAAGCAACCTTCACCGAACCAAGATTACACTATATTCAGTCCTCCGTTCGCACGAATGCCAGGTCAACAATGAGAAAAAAGCCAAACAATTCTGCAAAGAATTAATGCATGACGAAAAGTACCCGGAGTCGGTATATTGGTTGGAAAAATGCGGGTAGGGGTCGTGTAATCTAACACGGACCAACTACCCAGTTTCGATCCCGAGATGTACGATTGCGCGATGATGCGAACCGGTGCGGCCTGCGGTGGTGATTATGCGGTGTTTGAGATCGCCAGAGAGGCCCTAATCGCGGTAATCATGTTAGGTTTTTCGATTCAAGAATACTCTTTCAGAACCGCATCATCGATGGTCTGCCTGACAAGAACACACACGATGGGCTGAAGAAACAAGAATGCATTGAGAAACGAGAAGAATTGCTTTACCGCCTGCTTT